AGCTCAGGCAGCGTTGAGGTTTAACGGTGGTGGTATCACAAGTGCGGCCATTTCTCCAATTGATCATACGGTTGTGACAGGTGGTGAGGATGGCACAATTCGTCTTGTTGACTACGTGACGCCATGTGAGGTATATAAACTGATGATGCCAGCATCAACGACTGTCGTTGCCCTTCACTTTTTTCGCACGGACAAAACTGGGATGAAGTTTATTGTGTGCTGTGAAAATGGAACAGTTGGACTTCTACAACGTGGAAATAAGGCGTTTGCGTTGCTTGGCCAGTGGCGGCCACACACAGAGGGACTCACGGCGATGGCGGTCGATCGGGAAGAGCGCCGTCTTTGCACCATTTCCACGAATGGCACGGCATTTTTTTTCGACATTAAACGGGATATTTCCTTACTCGAGCCCATCGGTTTTTGCCGTCTTCCGTTGAAAGATGTTCGGTGCGTGGCGTGGGACGATGCGACGTCGTGTAGCTTGGTGGGGTGCGAGTGTGGGAAGGTGTTGGCGATCCGGGCACCCAAAATGGAGGAGATGGACCACACTGTGTCATTCGAGTTTAATTGCATTTACGCTCTTGTTGGTATCCGTCAGAAGAAGAAGTTAGAGAAGCAACAAGTCAAGGCAGCCACTGTGGGAAGGGTGGAAGGGCTGCAAGAAGAAGAAGAAGAGGAAGAGGAGGAGGAGGAATTGGGGCCATGGCCGGTGCGTCTTATTTGTCCGCTACCGAGTGGCTCATTTGCGGTGGGTTCCGGGGCGGCAGAGCTGCTGTATCAATATAACCTTAACGTCCGATACGATAACCTTACGGAGCTTCCACCACTGCCGCCGACGGGTATTGAGCCACCCAACTACGTGGAGGAACCCATGATGAACTTGTGTTACCGGGAATTGATACCACAAACGGCCTCTGTCAGTACCTCAGGATTATTTTTAGTCGTCGTATGCGAGGGCGCACAGGTGATCCTTCGACCACTGGGAGATAATGGGAAAATTCCCCATAAATGCATACTCACTGCCGCGGCTCATGATCGGGTTGACGGCCGCATTACAACTGCCTGCACTTCATTTGATGACACAATGGTGGTATCCGTCGGTTTGGACGGACTTGTCGTGGCACAAATTCGCGAGGGTTGCCGAGCGCCATCGCCCCCGAAGATTGATGCGGTGTACCCATCCTTGTTCGCCGAGGAGGTTTTAGCGCCTCAGCCGATCCCCCTTTCGATCAGCGAACAAAAAGAAGCGGACGATCGCCGTCTTGCAGAAGAAGCCAAACAGCGTGAACTCGATGCGTTTCTTGCGAAACTTCATGTTGTGCATGCGAAATATGCGGAGTTGTTGGCGGAGAACGAGGCCGCCCCTGCGCATCAGCGTCTTTCCGATGAGGAAATGGCCCTTCACCCGCAAATTCTGAAGGAGATGGAGGAGGAGAAGCAGCGGCGAGTAAAGGAGTCTCTGTATGAAAATGCCCTTCAG